TTTTCAAAACTAAAATTATGTTAAACCCCAAAAAATTAAACCTCAAATATTTTGAGTGTTTTTATCTCCAAAAATTACATTTTGCGTTTTTGATGTTGTTTTGTTTGAGGTTGGGACAAAAAACAACTTCAAAGTGTTTTATTTTTATTTTTTTAATTAAATTAAATCATTTTTAACAACAAACTCTATAATCGGTTTTATTCGTCTTTTAAAGTTATTTTTATCTTTGATTTCAATTAGGAAAGATTTTCCAAAACTGTCTCCTTGCTCGGCAAGTTCAGCAATATCCAAATACTCATCATTTTCACTCGAAACCATTTTCGAGACTAAAACACTCATCATGATTCCAAATTTGCAAAATCTCTTCCAATCTTTGAGAAATTCACTTTTCGGGAACAAAAATTCCGGTTCATTGATCCCTAAACTTTTCAAATGTCTGGTAAAAGAGTCAAAATAAGTGTCCAAAATATCGTCCAAATTTTCTAAATCCTTCTCTGAAACGCAAGCAAAGAGAAAATAAGACAAATCCAAAATTGGTGTTGTGTATCTTGCGGTTTGCCAATCAAGAATTGCGACTTTCAACGGCCGATTGTGGTCACCATCCTTGAATTAAAATTAATTAGAATTAATTAACTAATTAACAAGACTTACTTCAAACAAGTACATGAAATTATTATTCCAACAATCTCCATGCGAAATCACTTTCAGTCCCTCAAAACCGTCTTGTAAATTCTTTAAAATAAAACAAACATTGTTTTGGAATTTCCTCCATTTTTGGAGAATTTTCTCATCAATTTCTCCCCTGAGCAAATTATAGGAGTCTTCAATTGGTGCTGAGAACATTTCTACCACCGATTCATCTTCACAAAACTCCTTGAAAACATCGATAACGGTTTCAGCCAATTCCTGGAATTTTTCAGGCTGTTTTTCCCTCATMGCCACTGAAATRGCGTGGTATTTCCCATACTCTGTGACCACCAAATCGACCAATTTCCTCGACAAAGGCTCCTTTTTCGGCCACAATTCAAAGCCACTTTTCTTCAAATTCTCCAAAATTATCACTTCCATGTCATCACTGATAAACGAACCGTAACATTTCGGYTACGAAACGAAGGGTTTTTCACAGTTGTGGTCGTTTTGGAATTGGAGAAAAGTCGGCTGGAGTTTTTCATACATGAAAATTTCATTCAGGAAGGCATTTTTCACCGGGGATTTTTCACGAAGGGCTTTGGAGCGTTTGCTGCACTTGACGACGAGGTTATAGGGTTTTTCACCGGTGATTTCCACGAAAATTATGTCGCCCAAATAACCGTCACCTTTTTCCGAATTTCCCACAATTTTCACTGAAAAATCGGACACATTTTCTTTTTGCAAGACTGGTTTCAGCCACGATTTTATTTCAGTTTTGATGTCAGTCATTGTAATGAGAGAGTTAAACTGCAATCGAGTTATTTATAAAGTRTAGTCTCTAGTGACAAGTACATAATTGATAGATAACAATTGAAACTTGATAAGAAACAATAATTTTTGCAACTCATTTTACACAATTTTTTTTGTCAAATTAACAATTGTTATAATTTCGAATCATCAAATAATAATTTTCGTCACTTGTTATGCTATCACACGTGGAGATAACTTGAAGGTCGCATTTAGATTAGATGATCACACTTTATTTATTTAGTATTACCGCTCTCTGTCATGCATACTAATAAAGAAGTGAAATTGTGGCTGAAAACGGCCCTGAAGTATGAAAATTTGGGCGAATTTTAAGTCACTTGTGTGGGAATACGCAGCTGAAAAACACTGAAAAACCGATACTGAACGGTTTTTTTTTGGATTCAGAAAATTTGGACGATATTTTGGACACTTATTTTGACTCTTTTACTAAACATTTGAAAAGTTTAGGGATTAGTGAACCAGAATTGTTGTGAATTTGTCAAAGATTGGAAATGATTTTGCAAATTTGGAATTATGATGAGTGTTTTAATCTTGAGTGAAAATGATGAGTATTTGGATATTGCTGAACTTGTCGAGCAAGGAGACAGTTTTGGAAAATATTTCCTAATTGAAATTAAAGATAAAAATAACTTTAAAAGACGAATAAAACCAATTATAGAGTTTGTTGTTAAAAATGATTTAATTTAATTAGAAAAATAAAACACTTTGAAGTTGTTTTTTGTCTCAACCTCCAACAAAACAACAACAAAAACACAAAATGTAATTTTTGGAGATAAAAACACTCAAATTATTTGAGGTTTCATTTTTTGGAGTTTAACATAATTTTATTTTTCTTATTTTTCTTTTCTGTAAAGTGCTTTTTATGTGGCAAATACGACAAAAAGTAGTAAGTAATTTAAAAAAAGTTCTTTAGAATCAATTTTTTGGCCTTTATACCAAATTTCAATTATGATTTTTAATTTTTTTCAAGATAATTGCTTTTTATTAATAGAAGTGTTAAAAATTTGTTTATGTAGTACTAATAATCTAAATGTACATTTTTTATTCATAATAAAAGAACTGTTAAAAATAAAATTCTTTGATTTGTGAATTAATAAACATAAAAAAATTGACGACATAAACAAACTAGTGGTTTAGTCAATTTTTTGTGTAGAGGTCTATTTTTAGTGCTTTACAATATAATAGTAGGTAGTTTCGCTTAATTTTTTTAAATTGAGAAAATATGTGTTAAAATTATTTTTTTTTATTTTAGGATAATTTTATTAATACTAATTGAATTTCCACCTTCTAAATTTCACAAAAATGCGTTGGCAAATAACACAGATAAAAAGTCTTACGTGAGACACCCTGTATATTTAACACTAGAAATTAGTTTGTAACAATGACCACTTTAAAGTCGTTTTTTCCTATTAATGTAATAATTAAAGGAGCAAAATGTGATTTCTGGAAATAAAAACACGCAAAATATTTATTATTTTCCAATCTTTATTACTACTATTATAATTTATAGTAGTTAATAAATTATAATTGATTTAAATTTGTTACATAATGCAAAATATTGTGTTTCACTCTTGTGAAATAATTTTCTTCATTTCTGATACTAAAATTGAGACCTTCGAGAAACTTTTTTCCTTGATCTGCAATTTCCGTAAAATCTGGCGCTTCCTCAGCATCGCACAACGAAAATTTCAAAATAAAAGTCCCCAAGAGAAGACCATAGACTGAAAATTTCTTCCAGTGTTGTTTCAATTCTTCAAACGTGAAAATTTCGCTCGAATTACAATGAAATTCTTGTAACGTTTGACTCAAAACCTTGTAATAAATCTGAAGCAATTCTTCGATTTTTTCGTGAATTTTGGTGTCCACACAAGTGTAAACAAAAAATGATAAATCCAWGATGGGGGAAGCTAAAGCCGAACATTGCCAGTCGATAAAACAACAATGTTTCGGTTTATTTGTGTTTTCCTGAAATTTCAAAAATCGGATTAGAGAATTGAAAAAATTTGGGTTACCTCAAGTTTGAATAAAAAATTGTTAGTCCAACAATCGCCATGTAAAATGACGTGAAAATCGGGCTCTTYTTCGAATAAATRAGCAAAAATGTCTTTAARCTTGTCTTTGGTTAAGTRAAAGTGTTTTATTTCGTCACAATTGGGCCCAACATCAGAATTTTTGGCCTCTTCCAAGAAATTCAAAATCGTGTCATCAATCCCATTCCTCAAAATGTGATATGGAAACACATTCACATTATTTTCGACAAGTTTTTCGAAAATTTCACGTTGTTTGTGCCTCAAAGCTAGCGCAAAAGCGTGCTTTTTGCAAAATTTCCCAAAACCAATTCGACATAATCAAAATCCATTGACACTTTCCTATCCCAGAGGACTCACCATTTGGGTTTCAAATTTTCCAAAATGATCATTTCGATATTCTCCTCTTCTTTCGAAGCAAAACATTTGGGGACAAAATCGAGTAAATTCACCCCTGATTCTTTACCAAACTTGACAAAAGTTGGTACCACTTGCTCATAAACGTGAATTTCTCGTTGAAAAAATAATTTGATAGTGATTTGTTTACGCAATTGGACATTTTGAGACAAAATTTTTATCACCAAGTCTAGGATTTAACTTTTCCTAAATAACCATCAGCTTTCCAGCTTTGACTTGGATTTGTATCGTAAAGTCGTGCAAATTTTTATTTTTCATGCCCAATTTGAGCCATGCTACACATCTCGGGTAATTCACTAAAATTGTAGAATTTGAAGAAATTGTCTGATTTTTTTGAATAATTTTAACAAAGTACGCAAAAAACTATGCTAATCAGTCCAAAAAATATATTTCTTTGAAAAATGGAATGAAAATAAACAAAATTGACTGCTTTAATTAGATTCAGCAAAATCTATTTAAAACGTTAGATTTTCATTAATAAATAAGCTACACGAAATAGCCGAAAAAGTTTTTTTATTGATAAATGACCTTGAAGCTAAATGAAAATAACACAAAATGTAAAAAATAGACAATTTTTCCTTAAAAAATGCACCAAACCGAAGAAACAAACGAAATAATAGATTTATAAGCAGATCTAGCAATTTCTTGATTCCACTTAAAAAAATCTCAAAAGATATAATGTAAAAATAACCAAAATAAAAAACTATTCAAAATAACATTTTTGCGTCCAATTTTGGATTTTTTTGAAATTACTCAGCTAAATCTGTTTAAAATGTTAGATTTTCATTAATAAATAAGCAAAAAACTACTCGAAAAAAGTATTTTTTGTTGAGATATAAT